ATACACACACACACACACACAGACACACACACACACACACACACACACACACACACACCCACCCACCCACCCACCCACCCACCCACCCACCCACCCACCCACCCACACACACACACCCACACACACACACACACACACACACACACACACACACCCACACACACACACACACACGCGCGCGCGCACACACACACACACACGGTTTCATCAGGGTTTAGGGTTTAGGGTTTGATCAGGGTTCCAGGATTCCAGGACTCAGCCATAGAGAGGTGTTGAGCAAGAGTCACATGGGAGCTTCCCAGCATTCATGCCTACATAATAAAAACCCTAAACCCTAATCCCTAAACCCTAATCTCTAAACCCTAATCCCTAAACCCTAAGCCCTAAACCCTAAACCCTAAACCGGGCTCTTATAATCTCCCGTGAATCCGCCAGATCCTGGGGGTATAGGGTTCAGGTCGGGAGTTTGGCCGGGTTTTGACCGGTTTCTTTTTTGCTCCTGCTCTTGGCATTTTGCTTCAAACAGTGGCTTTTTGAGTGTTTTGCCAACCCCTCCGCGCAACGCTCCAAAAGACGCAACATGGCTCCCTCCACAAGCTTCAATTGTGTCCAAAAAGCCGAAATTGGATCAAAAAAACAACAAAAGCTGAAATCGTTTCAAGACGCACAAAATGGCTCCAAACGCTTCAGTTGGATCCAAGAGTCCGAATTGGCTTCAAAATGCTTCTAATTGCATCTGAAAGAGAACAATTGCTCCAAAAGGCCCGATTTGGTTTCAAAAGGTCCAGATTGGCTTCGAAGCACCCAAACTGTCTTCTAAAGGCCCAAAATGCTTCCAAAAGGCACAAAATCGCCACCTTTAAATCGCCCGAATTGGCTCCAAAAAAGCTCCAAATTGCTAAAGAAAAGTTCAGAATGACCCTAACAACAGGCCAGAAACTCGAGGTTTTACTCCTGCTAGCTCATCCTTCCCGCTCCACCCATGTCAAAGTGCAGGCCAGACAAATGGGTGGATGTTAAAATTATGATCCTTTTTTGGGTACCCTAAATATTAGGTTCCGTATTATAATAGGGATCCCAAAAGGGACCATAATTTTGACAACCACCCAAATGATGGATTGCTCTCCTCACTGAAGGTTTATATCTGAAAGATCTTTGAAAATCTTTGAAAGAGGCGGGCCAGAATACACTTTGTATTTATTCTGGCTTGAGGGTTTAGGGTTCGGGGTTTTGGGTTTTCACTTTAGGGTTTAGGCTTTTGGGTTTACGGGTATCCCTCTGTTGAGATGCCACCCCCCTCATGACCGCGTGCAGCCAGCTCCACGTGAATCAAGCAGCCGGTTTTCGCGCGCCCAAGACTGCGGAACAAAAAGGTAGGGCATAATTATGTTGTCCAATATTATGGTGCGCATTTTGTATAAGTATAGTCTACGGTACCTCAGGTAGACCTCAACATGATATTGGTTGTTCTTGAGGCCCCTACAGAAGCATGAGAAAGATCTCGTACTAATTATCCTGTTGTGCCCCGCCTGGCTTGATCTCATTGAGGCCCTTCTTTCAGGGAGGGGGTGCAAACCCTAAACCCTAAGCCCTTACATTGGTCTAAGGTTGAAACTATGTGCCCTAAGTATGGGCCCTTAACCCTGGGATCCTTATATACCTACTATATACCAGGTTAGGATTTCATGACCATAATAGGGATATAAACCCAAGAAATCAAAGAGCACTTACCNNTTTTAGAGTGCTCTTTGATTCTGTTTACCCTAGGTCAAAACCCTAACCTACGATATACCCCACATGGTACCGTTAAGGATCCCTAAAAAGGCCTAAGGGCCCATATTCGGATCCCATACTTCTAACGTTAGAATTGATAGTCGGCCAAGGTATCTTCCTGGGTTTAGGGTTTAGGGTATAGGATGTTGCCAAGTAGAAGGGCTGGCTAATCCAAGTACATGCTCAAACTATAGTCTCCCTCAAGTAGACAGGATATGGGGTATATAGGGATCTTATTATAATAAACCCAAAGCCATATTCTATCTACTTGAGGGGGACTATAGCCCCAAACTACTCTCCAGAAGTGTTTATGCCTCACATCCAGAAGTCCGAGATAGAGGAGTATAGTAGTAGCATCAGTAGCAGTAGCAGTTGTAGTAGCAGTGGTGACGGTGTTGATGGTGGCAACGAGGGTGGCATTGGCAGTAGCGGTGGCAGTGGCGGTGACAGTTTGCTGGTGCCTGCGAGGGTGCAGCTAAAGTGTCTCACAGAACAAACAGATCATTGAAGGACCTCATTTGGTCACGCTTTAGGAGACGGAACAGATAATGCTAGCATCCGCAAATTAGGCATTTCTCAAATTCAACCCTAAACCCTGAACCGTAACCAGTCTATACCTTTGGGGCCGCTGGTCTTTTGGTGCCATTCTGTGTTGCAATCTCCTGCGCAAAGCTTCTGCCACAAATCCCCCCAAGGCTCAACGATCCTGGAGATTTCCTGATATAAACACATGCTAAGTGGGTCCCCAATAGATCATGGCCTGTAATATGGTACCCAATTAACAATCTCCCACATGAGCTCAGATATGGCTTATATGCAGTCCACTTATATGTTAGCTTGCGTTGCTCACTGACAGGCACGCGCGTTAACCGAGCCCATACTGGATTTGGGGGCAGTGAAACCTGTTGAGGACCTTATTCCATGAGATGTTTGGCATGCTTGCTTACAGGGGCCGACCCTAAACCCTACCTGAACCCAATTACCTGCAGGCTCGTGGCTGACACCTGGGATTTAGGAGGCAATTACCATTCAGCTACAGGCAATCCGAGTTACAGGTTCTAGTTCGTGGGGAGGCACCCTAGCATTCCAGGGATTTCACGCCCGCACCCTTAAGATGGGGGACCATGGGGCAACATTGGACACATGAGTAGTATTTTAGTTGGGGATACTATGGTACCCAATATAGTACAATATAGAGTAAGATTCTATCCTCCTTTTGGGTATAGTATTCTATATAAGGAATATATTCTTACTAGGTTTAACCACAAAAAACGCTACTCACATGCTGGTGTTTGCCTTGGAAGAGGCCTGCAGCTGTAGAAAGCCTTGATCGTTGGAGGGGCCTTCTTCACAGAGGGGTCGAAGTGCCCTGTTTCAAGATGTTCTATTCGCATGAACAGTGTAATCCCTCGAAGGAAAGAATCAGCACCACATTCCATGATATCAAGCGGTACAGGGTGAATGGGACTTCAAACAGACAGGTCATGCTTTATGCCTGTGTATGACCCCTAGAAAGACATGCAACAGATCCCAAGTACTTTGAGGTGCGCATCAGGCAAACCCCTCCCCCTAACTTTAAAAAAAGTCCATCCGCCTGTATTAGATATCACCATTGTGGTATATTTCAACCTACAGGGCATCTGTGTGTTTTGGGGGGTGTGAGGTTTTGCTACTAGGGGAAGTACCTGGACAGCTGGACATTGCTACCCTTTCTAGGAGCCGCCAGCGCGGCATACCAAGCCGGAGCCCAGCATCATCCACGTCGCGCCCGAAGCCCATTTTTTTTAGGATTTAGGGGTTTGGTTTAGGGTTTAAGGTTTCGGGTGCAGGGTTTGGGCGTAAGGGCTGCAGGATGTATACTCTAAATCCTAAACCCGAAACTCTAAATCCTCAACCTTAAATCCTTATAGTTTCGAGGGGGCTCTGCAAAATAGTCGGATATGCGCATATAAGCAATAGTCTAAACTCCTAGCATCCCCCTTAATAACCCTTACATAACCACATATAACCCCCGTTAAGGAGTTTGGACTATAGCTCATATAAGGGATAGCGTTTGTCTTCTGTCACCCTGTACTGTCAGTTCTCGGCGTTCCTCTGCAGGTGTTCAAGGTCCTGTTTCGTACAGACTCCTATCCGTTCTGACTAAGCAATTCCCCAACTTTAAATACCGCTCACACCATGATATCAAACGTGCCACAGAGCTTATATAGAATGGGAAACATAATTTCCACATGACGCCGTGGGGCGTGGTTAATACTAGGGAGAGCGGCTAATTTCTGGGCACGCTGATGTATTGTAGGAGCTTATACAGGCAGCAAAGTGCAATTCCTCAGTCTACCCGCGACATGGAGCAAGGCCATGCAGGGGCGATTCTGTGCTTGAAAATGGGGCCACGTATGTGGTTCAATGTTTCTTTGGCTTGCTGTTTCTTCACTGAAGCCCTTATATCCGTTGTAGGGTACCTAGCTTCATGGCGGCAAGGGTTGATTGTTTTATGGGTCCAACTAGTAGTCTATACTACCCCCCCCCCCTAGGTTCCCTTCTTAATTAAAGTTATTTAGGGAGAGGGGGGTACTAGTTGAACCCATGATTGTTAGTTTGGGGGTGGGGTAGCCCTGTAAGGTCGCCACAACGACGCCGCTGCGAGAGCC